ATTAATCTTCATATTTAGTACAACAGAAACTCATTGGTAGTGCTTGAGTTCAGCAAAGAGTTAATATTTTGTGTTTCCCCTTTTGTTTTAATAACTGCAGACAGTCTTTCGGGCATTGTTGCAACATATTTAATCAGAGTGTCCTTTGGGATTTTACTCCAAATGTCTCTAGTACACTTCATAATATAACTTTTGATTTGTCAAGTTTTTGATCAATCAAATCCCAGATCTGTTCAATTGGGTTGAGATCGAGGCTCTGTGGGGCCACTGTATCATTTGAATGATTACAGCAGCTTCTTTCTTAGCTAAGTAATTTCTGCATAGGTTGGATAAGTGTTTGGAGTCACTATATTCTTGGCAGTAGAATCCTTTACCAATAATACACAAACCACTGGGTATATCATGACAGATAAGTATCTGATGGTACTTGCACTGGTCCATTATTCCATCTATTTTGCAAATATCTCCTGTTGTTTCAGCAGAAAAACACCCCCAAACCATCACACTTCCTCCCCCATGCTTCATGGTAGATGCTATGCATTGAGGTAAGTATCTTTCATTTGTTGTCCACTGGAAGTACAACCTATGCATTGAACCAAATATTTCAAACTTGGACTCATCCATCCATAACACCCTTTTCCAATCGTCAAAAGTCCAGTTTTTGTGATTTTCAGCTAATTTCAACTCTTCACAATATTTGGAGATTGAAGTAGAGGTTTTTAAACTGCTAGAAGACCAAATATTCCATTCTTGTTGATTCTTCTTGATACTGTAGATCTGGACACTTTTTCAGGCTTAAGATCAGAGGCAGTCTTCCTTCTGTCCCAAAAGCTGCATAAATGAAGAAACTTAACATCAATATCATCGAGTTTAGATGTTCTGCATCTTCCTGTCCTATTTTCAAATTTACCTGTCTCAGTCTCACAATCTAGAGTGCACTTGAAGGTGTTTGGTGAACATGTCAAGTCTGCAGCAATTTGTTGGAGAGTCCAACCAGCATCACGTAAAGTTTTTATGCAAATTCTCTGCTCTACTGACAATTCTCTACACTTTTTGGGCCATGGCAAAACAACAAAACTTAATATAAATAGTGTTAAATACAGTTTTAACAAGGTTTATTTGTGGAGTGCTATTAAATTGATTTCTTCTAGCATATACTGGTACCATATGCTAGCTCCTTGCTAGCTTCTTTCTATATAGTTAAGGCACTACATGGGGTACCATGACAGTTATTTCAGACCCTAAATTTGATCAGTATGTTCATTCAAGCCGTTATGACATGCCCTTTGTACAAATATATGGGAATTCTAAAGAATGATAGGTATTCTCACCCTGGTGCATTCAATTGTCAACAGGGATCAGTGAAGCATTACCATAGTGTTGAAATTTACGTTCTGTAATGGCATGGAAGAATCAGCTTCAATAGTACTGGTTTAAGTGGTTTACGCATCTATAAATTTAACCCTAAAACATTGACTATTGGGTTATTGGAATTGGAAGCATTTACAAAAAACTTGGTAAGACTACAAATATTGTTATAACCAAGTCTGATAATGGTAATAAAGTAGTTATCTTGATGTGACTAAAATAACAAGATTTTAGATAATGAAACTAAACTAAAGGAAATCAAAAATATCCCACAAAAAAAAAACAAGAGCAGATACGATAATGAGATTTTTGTTAAAATTAATAAAAGACAATAAGAAAAGAAATATATAAAGAGATTAATTAGACCAGCATGATCTCATGCAGGTATTGTATATAGTTTACCTAAGGTATGTAGAGAGATTTACATACAATACCAGCTTGAAATCCTGCTGGTCTAATCTCTCTACATACCTTAGGTAAGCTATATACAATACCTGCATGAGATCCTGCTGGTCTAATCTCTCTACATACCTTAGGTAAAGTATATACAATACCTGCATGAGATCATGCTGGTCTAATCTCTCTACATACCTTAGGTAAGTTATATACAATACCAGCATGAGATCATGCTGGTCTCTTACCTAAGGTATGTAGAGAGATTAGACCAGCAGGATTTCATGCTGGTATTGTATATACTTTACCTAAGGTATGTAGAGAAATTAGACCAGCATGATCTCATGCAGGTATTGTATATACTTTACCTAAGGTATGTAGAGAGATTAGACCAGCAGGATCTCATGCAGGTATTGTATATAGCTTACCTAAGGTATGTAGAGAGATTAGACCACCATGATCTCATGCAGGTATTGTATATAGCTTACCTAAGGACCAGCATGAAATCCTGCTGGTCTAATCTCTCTACATACCTTAGATAAAGTATATACAATACCAGCATGAAATCCTGCTGGTCTTATCTCTCTACATACCTTAGATAAAGTATATACAATACCAGCATGAAATCCTGCTGGTCTAATCTCTCTACATACCTTAGATAAAGTATATACAATACCTGCTTGAAATCCTGCTGGTCTAATATCTCTACATACCTTAGATAAAGTATATACAATACCAGCTTGAAATCCTGCTGGTCTAATCTCTCTACATACCTTAGATAAAGTATATACAATACCAGCTTGAAATTCTGCTGGTCTAATCTCTCTACATACCTTAGGTAAGCTATATACAATACCTGCATGAAATCCTGCTGGTCTAATCTCTCTACATACCTTAGGTAAGCTATATACAATACCTGCATGAGATCCATTGTATATAGCTTACCTAAGGTATGTAGAGAGATTAGACCAGCAGGATTTCATGCTGGTATTGTATATAGCTTACCTAAGGTATGTAGAGAGATTAGACCAGCAGGATTTCATGCTGGTATTGTATATACTTATCTAAGGTATGTAGAGAGATTAGACCAGCAGGATTTCATGCTGGTAGTCTATATAATTTACACAAGATAAATATAGAGAATTGTTGAATTATACTTACTGTATTAAAGACTAGTCGTTACAACCAACGGTTATCAGTTTTAGTGGGTAATCTTTTAAGAGTTTACTTGTAATTTTTATGTCTTGAAAGATAATTTGGAATGTTATAAGATTATTAGACACTTAATCAGAATGTTGTTTTAGCTAGTTTACTTGCTGATTCCTTGTTTACTAATACCCCCTTTAGATGAAGCCATGATGTTTGTATAAATGTGTTATATCGTACGTAAGAGTTGCACATGGTTTCCTAACAATATTTTACAAAAATTAATGAAAGTAACTACTAAGGAGTCACATTTTATCTTAATAGTACTATGTTAGGGCCATTACAAGATCAAGTTTAGTGCTGATAATGGTAAATATCATCATGCGACATCATAAAAAATAAAATTGGTTTGATGAATGCCCAGGTAGTTTTAAACCTTTATTACATAATAGATATGTAGATGACACTTTCGTGTTTTTCAAGAGATAAGTGATTTTAATAAAATTGTTGAATATTTAAATAGAAAATGTGTGAATATTTAATTCACTCTTGAATTGGAACAAGAATCTGCTTTACCGTTGGTCATTAATAAGGGGAGGGTGAACAGTTTGATGTATGTATTATATCATAAAACAACTTTTCAGGTCTTTATTTTAACTTTAACAGTTTTTTTGCCTATAATTTGGCCAGCCCATGGAATTTATTTCAGGATGGTTTGAAGAACATAAAAAAATATTTTGCTAGAAATAATGTTCTAAACAGTTTAATAAGAAAATTAGTGGGTAAATTCCCACCTGCTGTTTCACCCCTCTGGAAGTGAAGCATAATGTTCTAAAAGAAGGTTATTAACCTTACTGTCACAGGTCACATGTCAAAGAAGGCCACATCATCACGTTTGTTGACTTGTTTTATTGAACCACTATTTTAACAATTTATGTCAATAATTTGGGTATCAAATTGTGGATTATAATTCAAATTTTTGTATTACACATTATTCAATTTCTTAATTTAAAAGCAAATATTAAAAACAAAAACACTTAAACTTCGATTTTTGTGTGGTATGGTGAATGCAGCACTGGTTCAAATGAGATGTTTGTGATGTCAAAATACAAAGTCTATAGTCTTGTACGAATTAGGAACTAAAACCACCAGTATTGACAGGCTAGAATATAAAATAAGAACCTCTTATCTTTTCTATTTGCTAAGATATCGACCATGTACTGAATCAAACACAGTAGCAGTCGCAAAACGGGTTAATGTCACATTACCATTTTCTGGTATACATTTGAAAATAAAGACAGTTGAGAAATATAATTATGTAGCAGAATACCTTGGAAATCAGGAGGAGAAGGTGGCATGTTGGATAAATCTACTGCATCTCCTTTTTCCACTGCATCAATCACTTCATCAAATTGCTAGGAAAAATAATTGATCTAAAGTTAAATATAAGAATAAATTTAATAGATAAATGATGACGAAAAGATCCCAAATCTAAATATAAGGGTGACAAAACCTGAGACTACTTTCAGAGTTTGTTTTTTCAAAGATTTATCTATTAATAGAAAGATGGAAAATATAGCAAAATTAATATTCAGTCATTACAATGAGTAACTTCTCTTTTGGTTTATTGCTGTAAACCTCATCTCATGTAGTGAACCTTAGGTTATGAAATATTTGATGTGTGTATTTCACTTACTCAATGTCTGGCAAAAATATAAATATACAACTGTTTGTGTTCTTCAAATAATCAAACTGTCATTCTAGTTTCAACTAAAACCTCACATCGAGAGAAACAAAATTATACTGGTGAAACATATAAAACTATGATAAATTCCTATAATCACAAAGACTAGAACTATTATACATTACATTGATAATATCCTTAAAACGAAACTAAAACCTCACCTTTGCTATCTTAATGAACTTCATTGCAATTGGCATATCTCCAGCTTTTTTGGCTTTTAATGCTGATATTTTGTATTGATCTCTTCGACTGCACAGCATTTTATGAGTTGTATCAACTAAGAAAAGAAGAGAAACAGTTGTCACCAATATTCTTAACTGAATCTGTCTAGGTTTATTGAAACTTATTAATCTAAAAACTACTATCTTTTAACAGCCTCAGGTTCACTGGTAATGTAACACTAGTAGTTTCTGTCTTGACTGTAACAGCAAATTAATTAACAAATTACTTGCTTAAAACATCTCAGGTTTACTAATAGTATAAATACTAGTGACTTCTGTCTTGGCTATAACAACAAATTACCATCATAAAACATCTCAGGTTCACTAATAGTGTAATACTAGTGTCTTCTGTCTTGGCTACAACAACAAATTACCATCATAAAACATCTCAGGTTCACTAATAGTGTAATACTAGTGTCTTCTGTCTTGGCTACAACAACAAATTACCATCATAAAACATCTCAGGTTCACTAATAGTGTAATACTAGTGTCTTCTGTCTTGGCTATAACAACAAATGACCATCATAAAACATCTCAGGTTCACTAATAGTGTAATACCAGTGACTTCCGTCTTGGCTATAACAACAACTTACCATCATAAAACATCTCAGGTTCACTAATAGTGTAATACTAGTGACTTCTGTCTTGGCTATAACAACAACTTACCATCATAAAACATCTCAGGTTCACTAATAGTGTAATACTAGTGACTTCTGTCTTGGTTATAACAACAAATTAATTAATAAGTTATCCTCTTACACTGAAAACAGTATAATAACCAGTTAGTGACCTTTTGTTTTAAGTAATTGTAAGTACATATTTAGTTTTGACATTCACAAGACTTTAAGACTTTTTCCCTTTATTAAAACAAAGTCAATATTCTTAAAAATACAATTTCGTGTTTCTTTCACAGTCTATTTTTTCTCTAGAAATGTCTTAACTATTCATGAACCTTGTTTGGTAACAGAACTCTTTGTTGAAGGTGGAATGTTTGGTTCAGGAGCTGCAGATGTAATGCTAGAACCCTGTTCAAACTGTGCAGAGCGACGTTTGGGTGGTAGAGGTGGTGGAAGGTCACTGTTTTTAAGGGACTGACTGACTTCCCCTTCATGAAAAGGTGACCCTGTTTCTCTTGATAATTGAACTGGAGGGACTGCTGAACTTTCTACCTTTCCTATACAAATAAAGAATAAAACAAAACTCAATAAGATTTTCCTTAAAAAATCTACTTATTTTACCATAGTTTGATAAATCAATGAATTTGAATTATAAGTTACAACTATTAACTTGCACTTAGCTTTTTTTCTTACTTTACTTTTAAGTCTCTGTATAGGGGCTAGGTCATTTTGACCAACCCTGTAACCACCAAGTAGCCATGAAACTGTGTGTACTATAAGTCTGAATGTACTATTATATTTGAATTTATCAAGTTTATAGTAAACAATATAAGACTATTGGAACAAAAATCAAATTTCTTAATACAGTATTTTCACTAAATACTTTTCTGTAAATTTAGAAAGCCTTTAATGAGCCAGTCTGAGAGAAATGTGATTTTTCTGCTAAGAATAGAAATACTTGTATTTATCTTACGGTTTTAATGTTTCATTTACATAACCTCTAGAACTTCTAAAATGAAGATCAAGTTGTCATTCTGTTAGTGAAACATTATATTTTATTATCTACCCTAACACCAACTGCAAGAAATTTATCAATGTACAGTGCAATTAAAATTTGAAAAATTAGAAATAAAATGAATAATACTTTACATTCTTCTTCTTTAAATGCATCATTTGTCACCAGATCTTCAATTTAATTATCTTCACAATTAAAAACTTTAACCTTTTCACACTGGTTTTCTTTTAATTTTGTTATTTTATTGCCAGGCTTTGTTCACAGAAAGATGTTTGTTCATCCTTGAAAAGCAATAAATTACAGCAAGAACCAATTTATATTTCTCAACACATATAAACAAACTGATCAAGTTACACATAGTTTGAGTTCGATCAAGTTCAAATTCCTAAACTCATCAAATTTCAGGTTATTTTACTTTTTTACGTAACCTAAGAATTTTTTATGTTTCATTTTCATTACTTTTGTCAGAAAATATGTAACAACCAATAAAAGAAATAAACAAAAACCAAATACCTATCACTTACTTTAGGCCCATTTGCACTAGGATACTGTACTCTAGTCATCTTACTTTTACTTACTATGTTGTTTGTCTAAAAAAACATTAATGTACTTTCAAATATGCATTTTCAAACATAAAAAATATATAAGGCATTAGAAATACATATCCCAAAATCACTCTGACTAAGCTACAAATAGGTTAAAAAACTTAATTTACTGCTACAAGCAACACTTCTTGTTAACACATCATTATTTTCTTGTGAACTATCCCTTTTAGGTTCTAAACATAAATAAACACTCTTAAGACTCCTGTACATTACACAGTGGTTGAAGGTTATAGTGAACATGCTTACAGTAAACCAGTGGGTATAGTAAATAAACATCAGAAAATGCAAGGTGTAAGCAAGGCAATGGCTTCACAAACTCGGAAGAACTGAAAGCTAATTTTTGAGGTGGATAGACAAAAGGAACACAAAAGCATAAGATGGAGGGAAAACATGCAGATCTGGAAGATGCACTGTTCCTTTGGTTCAAAGAAACATTTCCTCAAAGTGTTCTTCTTCGTGGTGTTAATCAAACATAAAGCAATTGAGCTGGCTGAGAAAATAATTATCCATATATTCACACCTAATGATGGATGGTTCACATGCTGGAAATGTAGGTTCCATTTATCATTCAAAGTTGAAAAGGGAGTGGCAAAGTCTGTAGACATTCCAGCATCAGCTCAATGGATCGAAACATAAACTGCCTACCATCTTCATGTCATATGTTTCTGAAGGTATCTTCAAAACAGGTCTATTTTACAAACTGGTGGATTCACATGGCTCCATTGAGGCCTCTGAGAAGAAAACCGTTGTGGTAAACGGGCAAAAGAAAGAATCACTATTCTAGCATTGGAAAGCCCCAAAAAACCATCATATCAAGGGCTTGCATCAGTGATGTTATGTTTTGAGGGAAAATTTCCAATTTGCTCTTTTTTGGGTGCATTTTGGATGGGGTTGAACAATGCATGGGGTTGTCAGTAAACAAATTTTCTTTGCTGAAGCTCTGTATCCCACATATGGATTCATTGTTTGAAAATATAACTAGTCATTCATGCATTGATTGAACTGTTGTAGTCAAAAAGCAGCTTGAATAGGTGTTTTGAGAAGCATCGGCACCATTCAAAATCTGAAAGGGCATTACTGCTCCATTTTACTCTGTCGTATCATCAACCCTCTAGATGCAGACAACCATGAAGAAAAAAAGGTTGATCTACTGGATGCTGTAATGAGTACTGCTGAGGCTTGGAAGATGGTTAAAGAGTTGATGATCAAGGGTGGCATCACTTCAAATAAAAAAGTTGAGGATGTTGTAAGTTTAAAACCACTTGAGGATGTTGTTATTTTGCAAGAGGCCACCATGAAGGAACTTAACAGCATTGTAGTTGTCGACAAGAAAGTAACTACAAATGGAGAGCTTACTGATGAGGAACTTATTGCTGAGATTATGTCTGCTAGGTCATCTAAGGTTCAACAAATAGTGTGTGATAGTAACAACATAAAAGTATTAGAGACTCTCAATGTTCTTTGTCAGTTTTCAGCAGTCAAAGGTTTAGAACATTCTTGCATACAGAAAGCACAATCATTCACTGATCAAAATATTGCTTCCAATCACAAGCAAATGTCAATTAAAGACTTGTTTTGTAAACATTAATAATTACTATCAATTTTGGATTGTAATGTATTGTCAACTGTAATGTATTTCATAGTTTCTGTACCCCTTTTAACATTAACAAATTATTTTATTGATTTTTGAGATATTCATTAGCCCTTTCTAGTAGAAATCTTGCACTGCTGAGCCATCTACAGATAAAGTAAACATTTGGATATTGTAATCTTTTGACCGGGAACCAGTTTACTATAATCGTGGTCAACTATAATATACGTTTCCAATAAGTTATAAACATCTCTTTTTCTTTTTTTTCTCAGAAAAGTAGGTTTAATGTAGATACTTGGCATGTAAAGCAGAAAAAGTGGGAGTGCCTTTTCTACTGAGTCTTACAAGTATATTGATACCCCAGCAAATCAAAAGATAAAAGTTTCAAATTTTATTTTCTCAATATAAAATATTAGAACTCTCACATGTTGTATTATATAAAAATTTTTCATTATCTTAAAAATACCAACCAAAATCTCATTTAAAAATTCACATACTGAGTTGCAAGAAGTCAAATGAAAATAACGAATATACAAATAATTCAAGTCAGATATAACATAAAACAATGAATGTAGTTATAACAAGCATGTTACTCTTACAGCCTCAAGTCAAATTTTTTTTCTGTTAGCACAGTCAATGTACATAAACCTGTTACTCTTACAGCTTAAAGCCTAATATTCTGTGTTAGGTCAGCCAAAATATGCGACTCTGTTGCTTTTACAGCCTAAAGTAAAATTTCTAAATGCGTTAGGAAAACCAAGGAACATGATTCTGGTATTCTTACAGATTAAGCTTAAGTTATTGTGTTAAGACAGTCAAGGTACATAACCCTGTTACTCTTATAGCCTAAAGCATAATTTTATTTGTGTTAGTACAGAAAGGGAACATAGTTACTCTTATAGCCTAAAGCGTAATCTTATTTGTGTTAGTACAGAAAGGGAACATTGTTACTCTTATAGCCTAAAGCGTAATTTTATTTGTGTTAGTACAGAAAGGGAACATAATTACTCTTATAGCCTTGTTACAACAGCCGATGTACGTAATCCTTTTATTCTTACAGGCTGAAACAGAATTTTTTTGTGTTAGGACAGTCAAAGCATATGAAACTCCTACTGTTACAGCCTCAAGCAAAATTTTTTTATTAGGACAGCGAATGTACGTAAACCTATTATCCTTACAGCCTAAAGCCTAACTTTTTTGTGTTAGGACAGCGAATGTACATAAACCTATTATCCTTACAGCCTAAAGCCTAACTTTTTTGTGTTAAGAGAGCCAAGGTACATGACCTTGTTACTCTTACAACCTAAAACCTCATTTTTTTGTGTTAGAAAAGTGAAAGTACATGACCAGTTACTTTTATACCCTGAAACTTAATATTTGTGTGTTAGGACTGATAAGGTACGTATCCCTGTTAATCTTATGTGAGGAGAGCCGAAGTACATGACACTGTTACTCTTATAGCTTAAAAGATAAAACTCTCTTACTCTAACGAATGTCCATTACTTTTACAGCCTATAGCTTAATTGTTTAGTGTTAGGTCAGCTAAGATACAGAACCATTTTACTCTTACAGCCTAAAACATTTTTTTTTTGTTAGGACAGCCAAAGTATACAACCTGATTACTGTTATAGCCTAAAGTACAATATTTTTTGTGTTACGATAACCAAGGCACGTGATCCTATTACTCTTACAGCCTAAAGCCCAATCTTTAGTGTTAAGAGACCAGATATACGTAACCCTATTATTAACGCCTAATCTTTTGTCTTGGGAGAGCCAAGGCACATAACACTGTTACTCTTACTGCTTAAACTATAATTCTTTGTGCTAAGATAGCCAAAGTACATGAACTTGTTACTCTTCTGACCTAAAGCGTATATATATATATATATACATAAATATTAAATATTAAGTAAATAAGTATTAAGTAAATATTAAGTTTTACAGAACCGGAAGTACTACCATTCAAGAATATTGAGTAATTAATTATTAATTATTATTAATTATTAATTATTTATCAGTTTGTTTTGTGTTAAAAATTTGTAACAGTAACAAAATGCAGATGTTTTTTTTGTTTTAATTCATTCATCATCTCTTATTGTGAACTTATGTATAGAAACATCTGTTCTTTTCAAAAGGATTAACTAGATCAAGTATTTCATTCATTTTAACACATACTTCGTTAGTTCGATATATTTAATGATTAGCAATCTTCGTTAGCTGTAGTACTAAGAAAAAAGGCTCCGGATGAATAAAAGATTTCTTCACATTATGGATTCCAAACCGCTGAGAGCTCAGGGTTCACTCCACATTCCTGGTTTTTCCTGAGGAGCAGAACCTACCCTGAGTTCCTGGATTTAATCTTACAGCAACCAATTACTATTGCAAAACATCTGATTGTACTTGTTATTACCAATACATATATTTTGGAAAACTCACCTGGTTGAACAGGTTTAATTTGAATAGAAGGAGGAATGTCCTCTTCGTTAACACTTTTTCCAGCTTTGGCTGCACGTAACAAGTCCTCCAGTGTCTAAAAAAAAAAAGGATTAACATTACAGTGAGAACAGAAGAGAGAGAATTACAAAGGATATCACATTTTTCATATCACAACTGAAGATAATATTATCTGATTGAAAGTTTCTGGTAGTTCAGTAACAGAATCTAATTATGCAAAGTATAGTTTAAAATGAGATAGTGTTAAATGATACCATCCATTCCCTAAAAATAAAATATACACTCATGTGTTGTATGTATATAACACGTGTTATATGTGTTATATTGTACAAATTATTTTCTTAAAACTTTATCAAGATCCTAAAGTCTCATTTAAAAATTTACAGTCTGAAGTTGAGTTTGATATTGTGAAAGGAGCAGTTACTACAGAAAGTGTTCTCGTCCCTCATGTTGATGGTTACGAAGCTGTAGGACCAGAATCAAATTGTTAACTGATGCACTGTGTAAAACGTTTTAATCACATATAGTTTCTGAACAAAAGTACCTTTACTTACAGAATATTATGTAGGTCAAAGGTCGAAATGTTATGTGCTGAAATTTCTTGAACGTATTTGAGACAAACTGTCTATTTTATTTTTGATTTAATCAATCAGTATAATCAACTACCCATTAGCATCGATTAGTACAAAATAAAATACCTGATTAATCGAAATAAAAGTTATATTGATTAATGTCACAATAATAATCAACTAAACCTGCATGATGTGACTGTGAACTTTTGTCAGTTAAACGAAACAAACACAGTTAGTGTCATTCATGTGCTTTTACGTTCACACAGAAGGTTTGGGTTGGAGTGATATATATAAATGTCAGATTAGCCTTTCATTCATTTTTTCTAGATGATCTAGTACACTGATAGAGAACTGTATCACTGTTAATGATGGTGACTTCTTGTGCACTTCAAAAACTCTTAATCTGTCGGTAGAGGATCCAAAAATCATTATAACCTTTCCTGGACTAGGTCATATATTTTTCCATCTTAGAATAGAAATAACCAGAATTTATGAAACTCAGACTAAACTTATCCAGTTCTGGTTTTTAGAAATTCCACATCATTTGATTTAGTTTTTCGATAATTTTTATCAAATTTCTAAAGTTTTGTTGTGAAACTGTTTTGCAATTTGTAGTAGTAACCACTTCTGCTATAACATAAAAAAATAGCAGAAATAGACAAATTGGCAAAAATTCAGATTAAGCTAACAATACTCTTATTCAAGATTAATTTATATCAAATAAACATACTTTTTTTTTCAATAAATCATAAATTATTTTATGTACATGCATTATTTCAGTAAATAAATAAATAATTAATAAATAAAGACTCAAATCACCAGAATATCAACAGTATTCTGAAGAACTGTAAAAGGATTATCTGATGTCTTGTCATAGTAGAAAATTTCCGTAGATTTCAAACAAATATCATTTATCATAAAAATGTTTTCAAGAACAAAAAAAGAAAGTCTAAAAAACTATGAAAAAATTCTAAACTAAAATTCTCTGCTATTTTTCCTAAAGTATCATTTTAAATAAACCTTTATGTTTTTAAAGGTAATTATTCTACGAATGGGTGTAATAAAATATATTACGTGTATTGATTTTTTTTACTCCTTAACTTCATATATAATATAGCAGTTGGTTCCCTAAAGACACCGATTGTATAGTGTACAAAGCACTGAATATCTACATGTAACAGTCATCTAATATTCATCTGTTATTGGCTGGTAATTCTTGTTTCACCCTGTACTTAAGCTTTTAAGATGTTTGTAAGGAAGCTAATTTCAAGAGGTATTGATAACATTGTTTACACTAGTATTATGATGTTTTTAGCTTATGTAAAATATAGAAGAAACAAATCAACTTTTCAATACCACTACAACATTCGCAGTACCTTATTTAGTATTCTAAAAGAGGTTTTTGTTGTAGCTGGCAAGAGAATAATAATGAGAAGAAAAATTACAAACAGGCCATTTCTTTCCCCTTAAGTCTAACACGTGGATTTCAATTTTAGTTTTGTGGATTTTAATGTGTGTGCAGCTGTCAATAGTAAAGGTTTTAAAGTGTTTTATGAACAAATCTTTACTGTTTAAGGTGCTTTTTGCCTGAATATTCTATTAGGTTTTTTGCAATTTCTTGCAATCCCTATTATGAACCACTATTGCAGTTCACGATTTATGAGTATAAAACTGTTGAAATGGAATTTGAATTATCATTTTTATTTAAATTCTGAAACTTTATATGCAGATGTGCAACTGATCTCTGAAAAGTGACCACTGGCTCAGAAAATGTTAATCTTTGCTTGATTTTTAATTTTGTTTCCCTATCTGGACAAAGTACTAACTAAATAAAATATTATAGTACAAAAAATAAATTATCACCCACAACTTTGTTTTTATGTCGCATGAATTTACAAAAGGAAAAGCACATTGTTTGTGTTTAGGCTGTAAACCTTCCAGTAGTGTGACTAAGTTAAAAGAAGAAAAAGTATAACATTCTGAATGTTTAAAATTCATGTTTTTAAAATAAGTTAATGATATAATTGATATAAATATCCCATCAAAAACTTTAGATATTTAAAAATTAAGAAAAATTAATTGCTTCTTAAAGTTTTGGCCATTTTAAATTGTCCTGTACTAATTCAAAATCACAAAAATCTAATATAATCACTATTGAGGTATTAGTTAATGTTACCTTGACTCCTCGTCCATATCTCCTTGCTCGTGATCCATCTCCTGAAGTTTTGGCATTACTTTCAGCTGATTTGTATGAGGACAATCTCTGCTCCAAAGTTGAGATCAGTGAGTGGTCTAACTTAGAAACAGCTGGTACATGAATAGCCTGAGAATGGGTGTGGTCAGAAGCCTTTACAGACAATTCTTTACTGGATGACAGAGTTGTAAGTTCAGACTGTCACGTGAATCCAAAAAGCAGCATTACTGTTGTTTACTGTATGATTATATTTTATATTTGAAAATTCTTGTCAAATAAGCAGTTTAATTTAGCTTAATTTGAATATAAAAAATCTGCAAATGATACATTATAATTGAAGTGTTTCAATGAGAAGACATTAATGTCATGTGGAATAATTTTGGAGCTTAAACCTAAAAAAACAAGTAGCTCAATGAGAATTATAATTTTATACGAGGAAAACTTTTGGTGTTGTATTTAAATACGAGATACAATAAAACAAAAAATGAGTAAAGGTAATAAAAATTAAATATATAAAATGGAGACTGCAGTAACAGATGACTGATTTATTATAACTTACAAATATTAGAGCAACTTTTATCAATACAATAGACACCATACTGGTAAGATCCTTCTTATAAACAATTTTGTTGCACTTTCACAATTTATTTTCAGTAAACCTTTTTTTAGGAAAACTTACAACGTTAACCCACAATGGCCAAGTTTACTTTAAGATTATACAGGTATATCAACTTTGTAACATTTCAATCCCAATTAATTAGGCCTAATTTGACTCAACTTCACATGAAAATATTTAATTTCATTAGATGGATCTCTCCATTATAAAGAGAATGTATTCTGTTTGGTTTGTTGCCATTGGCTGTTTTCTTCATAATCATTTTCCCGTTATTTTTCACTTAAGACAGTGAGTAAGAAATCCTAAAGAAACCTTGCACATGTTTAAGTATCAATGATGATTATTTGAGTTGCATGGGTGGGACATGAAACCAAAATGTGTGGGGAGTGGGTGCAAAAAAAGTCTGACCAAAGTCTCACATATACTACATCCAATAAAAATAAGTATGATAACTGCCCCCTTGTCCCTCCCATAATCCCACCTACATTGAGTTGGGTTTTTATAAGTGGATGGCACATATAAAAGGAGTTATATACCCCCTTAAATATTACCTCTTTCAAGGATGACAGAATCTTTACATGCTGCTTTTATTATAAGGATCAAACTTACAAATAAATTATATATTAATTAATTACCAATAAATATAAAATGACATTCAAAAAAACAAAAGCGACAAGTATTATTTTGTTTGCTTTAACCTAACTTTATTTTTCATTACAATGTATTCTGAAATCCAAATTCAATTATTCAGTTCACTGATAATTGTACTAATGAAAAAAATGTTTCAAAGAATCTATGGCTAAATTATTAATGTAACTTTCAAGATTCTTAATATTACCATTAATTCTTCATCACCAGAAAGGTTTTCATCATCATCATCTTCATCATTATCTACATCCTTCATGCATTCTTCAGCTAGCTTATCAATTGTTTCAATAGCCGAAACTACAAAAAAAGATTGTGATAAATTTTAGAATAAAATTACATGACATAAAGAAAAGTTAGCATTTTCCTCACCTGAATATGTATTTATGATAGATACTCACCTCTGCAAACAGAAAGCTTCTTTCCTCTCAAGTTCATGCTAAAGCAGTTTGCAACCCACCAGCTTTGTGAAAGTTCCACTTAATTTCACGTGAAACCACATGAATTTGAACCATTGTGTGATGACGTAATCATGGTGCAACACTCTCCACCAATGGAATGTCACAAACCTCCATGTGCAATGACTCCCTCTACATCCATGCATTTGAACCATTGTGTGATGACGTAATCATGGTGAAACACCCTCCACCAATGGAATGTGACAAACCTCCATGTGCAATGACTCCCTCTACATTCATGCATTTGAACCATTGTGTGATGACGTAATCATGTTGAAACACCCTCCACCAATGGAATGTGACAAACCTCCATGTGCAATGACTCCCTCTACATCCAT